ATTAGTTTAAAATAGAGACGGAAGTTAACGATGATTTGCAACCAATGAAGCAAAATATAACTTACTCTTAAGTTTAATATAAACAAATATTTTAAAACATGATTAGGTTCCTAACAACTTTTATTATTTACCTAAATATCACTATATTTGCAAATCCCACTTCCGTCACTTACGGACCCAGTTAAAAAATAAAAATAATAATCAAATTTGACACAGGTCCATAATTGTAACGGTAAGGTCTGCAATTGCGACGGCCGATTCTATAATTTGAATTTTTTTTTTGTCTTTTAGTTGTGTCCATAAATGAAGCACATGTTTTTTTTACAGAGGTAGTGATATTTGTATAAATTAGGGAGAGAAATGACTACAAAACCAATCTAAGTATGAGAAACAACCACTTGAGTTAAAAATATCTACGTCATTGTCGTGTATGGTTGTATTCTTGCTGATTGATTGTTGGGTGTTGACTCAAAGTCAACCTTCATTTTCAGACAAATGATTAAATAGGAGTCTTGACCGGCCAGAACAATTTAAAACTAAAGTAGGTTTCAATATCTTAATTATGTTTATACATGTTGCTTGTCAATAATAAAATATCTAAATGAAATAACCCCACAAAAGTTGATTGTTTATATGTATGTGACTAGTCAACTACTAAACCAACAATGCCTGGAAATATATATATATATATATATATATATATTTTTTTTTTTACAGGAGCGTTCAAATAAAAACCATCTAATTTGTACAAATCGTGAAAACCACATTCAACTAATCATAATTTTTCATTTTGTTTATTTTTTTGTAATTATGAGAGGTTGATTAACCATTTTTATTATGGAGGGTGTTAATCATGGATATTAATATCTTCATTATTTTAATTTTAGAGAAATACATGAAACAATTTCATTAAAATTTCATTAAATATTATATGAAACAATTTCACAAAATTAAACAATTTCATGAAAAAATTTCATAAGATTAAACAATGAAATCGACGTATGAAGGTGGTTTGCATGGTTTGTACAAATGAGGGTGGTTTTCATTTGATCGCTCCTCATGTATAGTATGTATAATATATTCATATTCAATGTTAGCCGGCCGGTCTTATTAATTTGATATTTCACAGAATGAATCAACGATGCCACTTTGTTAAGATAAATTAAAAAAACTCTAGATTAAAGCAACCCATGAACGATTCATCATCTCAATAATCTTCCCTGCGCACAAGGAGGTTGACACATATTCATGTAATCATCAAAAACAACTATTGGCTGAACATGGCTACTAAATTCTTCCTTCTTTTCATGATCCCTTATGCAGCTTCACTCAGTTTCAATTTGCCATATATCAGTCCAAAGAATCAGAATCGGGAAATAATAACTGAAGGTTATGGAGCTTATATCTCCAGCAATGGAATTCAGGTGACCCCAGATGAAATTGGAGATCGGAGACAGAAAGGAGGACAAGTGAGATACTTTGAATCACTTCATCTTTGGAACAATGCAACTGGGGAGTTAGCAAGCTTTGCTACCAATTTCTCCTTTGTCATTGATTCAAGGCTGGATCCAAATTACGGTGATGGCCTCACATTCTTTCTTGCGGAGAATAATTCTGTGATCACACGCGGTGGAGCCATGGGGCTTCCCATCGATCCAATCACCTTTCGTGCAACGAATCGATTTGTTGCAGTGGAGTTTGATACTTATGAGAATTATTGGGATCCAAGAAATTCTAACGATATTTACATTGGCGATCATGTAGGTATCACCATAAGCAATCTCACTGGTCACTCTCTCACTTCTGTTAGATCTCATAAATGGTTGAGTAATATAACTGGTGGGGCAGATTGTCAAGCTTGGATCACATATGATTCTGTTTCTAAAAACCTTAGTGTTTCCTTCACGGGTTTTCGAAATAATAGAATTGTACGTCAGGATGGACTTTATTACACCATTGATCTAAGAAATGTGTTAACAGAAAAGGTCATTTTTGGGTTTTCAGCAGCAACTGGAACTTCATTCCAAAAAAATAACGTTAAATCTTGGAGTTTTAGTAGTACAGATGTACAAACTGTTGAAATCAGCAGCCTACCACCTAATACTGCCCCAAATCCGCTACCACCGAACACTGGCCCAAATCCGCTACCACCGAACCCCAGCCCAGATCTAGTGGGTAACAAAAAGAGCAATGTGGTATTAATAGTTGGATTATCTGTTGCAATCACTTTTCTGGGCATGGCTGCCTTTGTTTTGTGGAGGAAGAAGCAAAAAAACAGGGAAGATGAAGCGAAAGAACTTGAATTTAATGCCGAGATGAACACTGAATTCGAAATGGGTACCGGGCCTACAAGATTCTCTTACCACGAATTAGCTCAATCTACTGGTAACTTTACAGAGGACGAGAAACTTGGGGAGGGAGGTTTCGGTGGGGTTTACCGAGGTTTCTTAAAAGATTCGAGAACATATGTAGCAGTGAAACGGGTGTCCAAGACTTCCAAACAAGGAATCAAGGAGTATGCATCAGAAGTCAGGATCATTAGCAGATTRAGGCATAGAAATYTGGTTCAACTCATTGGTTGGTGCCACGAGAAAAGAGAACTAMTGCTTGTTTACGAGTTAATGGAAAATGGAAGCTTAGATTCACATCTYTTCAARGCAAAGAGCTTGTTGACATGGGGCACAAGGTACAAAATTGCYCATGGCCTTGCTTCTGCTTTGCTATACCTACATGAAGAATGGGAGCAATGTGTCTTGCATAGAGATATCAAATCTAGTAATGTGATGTTAGACTCTAATTTCAATCCAAAGCTTGGTGATTTTGGGTTAGCAAAGTTGGTTGATCATGAGAAAGGCTCACAAACAACAATGTTGGCTGGAACCTTGGGTTACATGGCTCCTGAATGTGTAGTGACCGGAAAGGCAAGCAAGGAATCAGATGTGTTTAGCTTCGGAGTTGTTACATTGGAAATAGCTTGTGGGAAAAAACCCATCGAGTACAAGGCTCCAGAAAGGCAAATAAGATTAGTAGAATGGGTTTGGGAGCTTTATGGGGCTGGGACTCTTTTAGAAGCAGCAGACCCGCGACTTGGGTCAGATTTTAAGGAAGAAGAAATCAAGTGTATGATGATCGTTGGGTTATGGTGTGCACACCCTGACTCAGATATCCGCCCATCTATAAGACAAGCTATTCAAGTTCTGAACTCCGAAGCTTCTTTGCCCATACTCCCCTCAAAGATGCCGGTGGCGTCTTACTTGTCTCTTCCCATTTCTTCATCACACGGTGTCGCTTCCATCATCCAAAACCAGTCGTCAAGTAGCATTGACAACACAGATTCCTCAAAGTAAAATGCAACTTCATCAACTGCTTCTTCTTCCACATCTGTGTCACTGTTGCATTCAATGTAATGACAAGTATTAAAATTTAACTTATCAACAACCTTCTCGGATCAAAAAGTAAGCTTTTGATTTGAGTTATAATATTTTGATGATTGTTATTGAGCATCATAAATGTGATACTTGACGATGCATTTTCAAGTAAACTTCAAAGCACTTATAAACCACACCTATAATATGGGGATTACAAACGAGAGAATAGTATAGAAACAAGGAAGGTTACAGGAAGTAGGAATTTGTAATAGGGCCACCACCGAGGGATATTACTGACAACATAATCTACAAATGTTTAATCCAAAAAATAATACTGGTTATCGATACATTCTTGAGGAAAGGAAATATATATGTCGATAATTTGCCAATACTTACCGACAAGTTAGCAACATCTTTCTGACGACATATGATGCAAGGGTAAATAGTAAAAAAATTTATTTTTATTTATTTTTTAGGTTTTTATTGATAAACCAAAGCTAGTCAAAGGAAGCGAAAGTGAATGAAGACAACAAGTACAATGATAAAAAATGTAATTAGTTTAAAATAGAGACGGAAGTTAACGATGATTTGCAACCAATGAAGCAAAATATAACTTACTCTTAAGTTTAATATAAACAA